TTGGGATAATTGTACAAAATTATCCCACTTTTTTTATTTTTTTATACAAAAATGAGAGTTCTAGTCTCTCAAATTATTCCAAGTTTTAGCTTGGAACTATGTGGTAAAAAACTAGAACTCGTATTTATTTTGTTATTTTTTATTTTTTTCTTTACTTATTTCCTATTATGGTTATCACCATCATTAGACCATCATCATAATAATAATTGTCAATATCTTATAGTCTAACCAAAAGTTATTTAATAGTAACGAACATTCTTGTAAGCAATTATCAATTAATAATAGTAAGTTTAAAATACATAAATAGTATTTATATATTCAAAATGCATAAATATATACTTCATGATTATAAAAATTTATCCCACGTTATTTTATCAAAATATCCTGCTTCACAAAATTGTTCCTAGTTATCCCGCTAAAATATCCCACTAGCGAAATATTATTCCACTTTAACAATTATCCCATTTTGCATGAAAATGTCTCAATTGACTAACACCCCCTAAGGATAGAGGAGAAATCTTAGCATTGAGCCTAAGAGAAGCTCCTCGACAACTTACCATGCTAAGGGCAATAGCATGGCTAGTCCAACTCAAACGGCAGTTGGTAAAGACAAATCAAGTCCGTTGATAGCTGAGGGTTTGCTAAAAATCCTAATTCAATCTCGCCGAGTTCAATTGGAAGGCACCTCGCTCCATCTAAGCAGTGATCACTTTACAGGTCTTCATATCTAAAGTGTTCCAGACCCCATGCGGCCTGATTTAGGTCTGAAAACTTTGAAGGGGGTTTTGTAGGTAATAAAAATTACCTTTAATTCCTATCAGAGAAGTTCAGAATAAGACTGCTAAAACCTCGCCCGAAATAGCTGAAAAGGGAAAAACACTGATATCTCTCAAACCGGAAGGAATTTGGTGAAACAGATAGGAGCAAACTGAACCCTATGGGGTGGGTTTAGTTGGCTCCATCTCGTCGAGATAGTCGATTTTCATATATAATTCATCAAATTTTGACTTACGGTTTGCACGTTATGACCTGTTCTTCGTGGCATGTTCTGGAGCCTGCCTGCATAAGTCAAGCTCGCCTATAGAGCTCGCCTGCATGATCCAGGCTCGCTTGAAGGATGAAGCTCACCTGTAAAGGCTGAAGCTAGCTTGCAAGGAACTCCGTCTGCCAGGATAGAGCTCGCCTAGCAGCATTGAAGCTCGCCTGAGTGAGATTCGCCAGCACAGCTCGCCTGCACAGCTTCGCCAGCACAGCTTCGCATGCACAGCCTCGCCTACACAGGCTCGCCTGCACATTGAACCAAGCTCGCCTGAAGGCCTAGCTCGCCTGACAGCTCAAAGCTCACCTATTTGGCTGACTCACCAACATGAAGGTTCGAGCTCGCCTGAAGACCAAGCTCGCCTGACAGCCTGTACATTGCCTGCGTGGACTAAGCTCGCCTAACAACTAGAAACCCACCAGCATTGTCAGCCACCCACTTAGAGTATGAGAATAGTCACATCAGTGGTTAAATCCCACAAATCAAGGGAGAAAACATGGCGCTCCTCACCTAGCAAGAATAGGGCGGATGACAGGACCCCCTAAGTGGTCACATCCCACAGCTAGGGCGGCTGGCTCCCTCACCCCTACTAGTGGTCATATCTCACAAATCAAGGGATGACCTATGCCATCTCTTGCCTATTTAAAGCCACTTTCAGCCAACGTGAAAAGGGGGGATTAGCTGATGCTTGCTTGGCTAGCTAATCTTCCAAAGGTTGAGCCTTGGCTCATTTGCTAAAGGCTCCCTCATTTGAAGAGACTCATCTGAACTCTCAGACTTGAGACTCTCAAGCTCTTTGCAGACTCTTGCGTAGTAGCTCTTTGCAGACTCGTCTAAACTCTCAGACTTGATGCTCTTAGGCTCTTTGTAAGTTCTTGCATGGTATCTCTCTCCAAGCAGTCAGCCAACCAGCACAAGCCTCCGTTTGGCCTCAGTTGATCGAACTCACCCAATCAAGCTTCTATTACGTACTGAAGCTCACCAGCAACATCGATCGAATCGTCCAAGGGAAGCAGACTCAGTGCGAGAACTGAGTGAGGCATCCTATTGCTACCAAAGTTCATACGTTAAACAAGGAGGACATTCTCTCTGCTTCTGTTGTAACTTTGATTCATTAGTTTGTAATAAGTTATTCTTATCAATACAAACGAGATCCCTGTTTTGGGAAATCAAAATTTACACCTACAGCCACATAAGTTGAGAAATGTTGAATGAACTTGCGCAAATACTAGCAAGCCCCCATGAAGCTTCTCACCTCCGTCACTGTCCTAGGTGTTGCCTTGGGGTTCATGGGTGGCGGGATCTGATGCGGTTTGACATTGGCGTCGTCGGATCTGGGCAGCGAGGCTGGTCCGGGAAGGGGCTGCAACGCGGGTGAAGGCTTGGGCGTCTCGAGCGAAGCTGAGACGGAGGATTGGCGGCGCGGGACTAAGCGGCGACGGCTTTTGGGCACTCGAGTGGGGTTCGAGGGTGGTGCTCTGAGGGAGGAGGGGTGTTGTCGGGGAAGATGGTGAAGGAGAAGCTCGGAGGTCGAGGAGAAGCAGGGCGCGGCGTCGCGGCGGTCAACGAGGTGGGTGAGTAGCGGCTCGGAGTTGGCAAGGGGATGAGAGGAGGGAGGTGAGGTGAGACGAGCTCAGAGCTTGGAAGGGATCTCGGCGAGGGGAAGGAGGAGGAAGCAGGTAGTGGCACGGGGCGCGGTCGAACAGAGGCGCAAGGCAGAGCCGGGAGATGCGGAGAGTGGGAGCTTGCTGTTAGGGAGAGGAGATGATGGAGTTTGGTGGCCGGCGGTTGATGGTGCGACTTGGAGGTGTTGAGCCAGTGGCGGTTGAGGCGGTGGTGGCTGGGTTGGTAGCTGATGAAGATGAAAGAGAGGAGAGAGAAGGAGAACGGGAGAGAGGGAGGTGGAGGTTCTCTTGGGAAGTGGAGGAGAAAGAGGGTGTACGAGAGGAGAGGGGTGAGTCAGTGAGGGATGGGCGGAAGTGATGCGGAGTGAGGGGGAGCAGGAATTTAGTTATTTAGGAGTGATTTTAGGGAGTGTGGGAGAGAGAAAATGAGAGAGAGAAAATGGTTCATAGATGAGAAGAAAACACAAGGAAAATACCCATTTAAAATAATATAAATAATAATAATAACAATAATGAATGACCAAACATTAATTAAAAAGTTTTTACCGTAACAACTAAATTTATAATTAGCAAAACCATTAAAATAAAAATAAATATAAATCGTATTTTAAAATCATAAAAATCTTAGAAAATTAGGGAAAATACAATTATTCGTCTTGAAAAATAATATTTAATATTTAAATACTTAGAAAATTTTATTTAAAGCAGTCTCAAAAATCACGGTCCTTACAAAAACACACCTATTAAGCGTCGATCCCCGCAAAGGAGGATACCGCCTATTCCCGAATGCCTCGCAGCAAACGAGGCCAAACCCTAGATTTATAATTGAACAAGTTATGAAACCTCACCTCCAAATGACAAAGTTGCGGCCTTTGTCCTCTCAGATACTTGGGCAACTGATTTGCCCTTGGGAACACGTGATCTCTTGATAGACATGGTGAAAAGAGGGATTTTAGCTGAAAATCTTGATGAAAAGCTAGGGTTTTGTGGCCGACAATCTAGAAAGCCTCCAAAGGAACCAAAATAGACTGCCCTAACTTCGGTTCCTGTCAAAGATCAGAAGAAAATAGGGTTTGGGCACCTTTAACAGGAGGAATGAGATCAAAACCGAGGAAAAGATTTGAAACCTTAGAACAACACTTACCTTTTCGGTCAAATTGGAGGAAAAGGAGAGAAGAGGGATTTAAATCTCTTTTATAAGTGTTTTCTATAGGTTTGAACTCAAAACGAGCGGTCGAATGAAGCCCAAAAGAACCGCATCGCGAATACTTAAAGATTCGAGCCCGAAAGTTTCCCTTCGAGTGAGACGGTCGATGCTGTCTCTCACATGCGAGACAACGTATACTGTCACGCACACACGAGACAACATATATAGTCTCGCATGAAAGAGTTCTTTTTTAGTGTGATTTTCGCTGCATCCTCAACTTATTTCCAGTACATCTACAATACTCTGATTAGTATAAGAGTATAAAATGCTTCTCCGTGCTACTCCTATGAGTATACGAGTATATACTGCTTCTCCGTGCTACTCCGATGAGTATACAAGTATAAACGGCCACATTATTTGCTATCTAAGCTTTCTTTTTTTATTTCTTATTATACAAATAAAATTTTGTAAAACAATAAGTGATAAGAAATTACTTTCTTTAAAAAATATATACTTTTTAAAATTTTCTATTTACTTTGGGCTAGCCAAACATGGGTGAACGAGTAACGTCAGATACCGGAGACCGGGCTTTGAAAAATTCCCCAAGAACCCAAAATATGGCACCAACAGGGGGGACATGTGATGTGTCCCCCTCCTATTACATAATGAGTGATGACCAGCTCATTATGCAATAGGAGGTGATGACCAGCTCATTATGCAATAGGAGAGACACACATCATCTATCTCCCGTGTTGGTTCCATATTTAGGGTCCCTATAGCAAAGCTCCTGTGTGTTTTTTCTAAAGAGTATGGGCTTTCACGATCATATCCCAACACAAAACAAATGTAACCCGCTAGTTCACTGGTGACCTTTACCTATCATTACCAGATCCAAAAGCTTCTATCCCCCGGCTCTTTAGGGCCTATTTGGATTTGTAGGGGGTGAAGGAAAATTAAGGGAAACTGAGAGAAGGGAAGGGAAGGGAAGGGAGTTCCCTTCCCTTTGATTACACTCCAATTTGGGGTAACAAATTTTATACTATTAGGGGGTGAACCAAGAGGAACTAGGATGAATTAACTTCACCTCCTAAGTGTTCCCAAATAAGATTAATAGAAGTGAATGGTTCCCCTAACTTCCCTTCACCCTTATTCCCCTCAATCCAAACAAGCCTTTAGTCTTTATCAGTAAACACGGCAGCAATTTACGCCACAGTCCAATCCCGACCTTCTTCATCCTCTCTACTCTCCAACATTAAACAAGGAAAGGAAAGAAAAAGAAAAGAAAACCTTTTAAAAAAATCTTTCCTCGGATCCGATCACCGTCGACCCCTCCAAGATGTCAACCTTTAGCGGTGACGAGACCGCTCCCTTCTTCGGTTTCCTCGGCGCCGCAGCCGCCCTCGTCTTCTCCTGTAATCTCACCGCCCTCTCTAATTCTCTTTCTAAAACCCTAGATCTGAGCTGATCCGATCTTTGAATCGCAGGCATGGGAGCAGCGTACGGAACCGCGAAGAGCGGCGTCGGAGTCGCGTCGATGGGGGTGATGAGGCCGGAGCTCGTGATGAAGTCGATCGTGCCCGTGGTCATGGCGGGAGTCCTTGGGATCTACGGTCTCATCATTGCCGTCATCATCAGTACTGGTATAAACCCTAAGGCGAAGTCGTACTATCTCTTTGATGGATACGCTCATCTCTCTTCGGGTCTTGCTTGTGGTCTCGCTGGGCTCTCTGCTGGCATGGCGATCGGGATCGTCGGGGATGCTGGAGTCAGGTATTGTTTCGATCTTATTATATTTGATTGTGAATTTTGTAGATCTTGATTGATTTTGATGCTGTTGAGGTTGGATCTGCTTGTAGTTAGCTAATGTAAGCTTGAGGGTGCGTGGATTGTGAATATATGTTCTTTTTTATGTTTATTTGTGGGTTTGGTTGTTTTGCGTGAATTGCCCGACACTGATACATATTTCTTTTTTTATTATATGTTTTGGATTATATTTGTGATCGCGCTTTGATGTCGGCCATGGTTTAGGTTCTGTATAAGTAGAATAAATGCAGTAAAGTTCATCAACATTTATAATGTTATATCAGAAATGGGTTGTTTCGATATTACACCCCCAATTCACAATGATTTTGATATTACTCCATCAAATCATTAATATTTTGATATTCCTCCCTCAAATCATCATGAGAGCTATTAGGGCCCCCAACATTTACAGTTTTGCCCATGTGGAGACAATGCATTCATATACAGCTATTGAGAAATTAAAAAACCAAAACTTTATCCCCTTTCCATAATCATCAAATCCTTATTCATCTATATCACTTGCTCTCTCTCTCTCTCTCTCTATATATATATATAGATATATATATTCCCAGAATATTTAGAGGTCTTATAGTTCTATTGAATCTTTTGAAGGTTCTATTCCAGAATCTAGTTCATGAAGAACTGTTGCAAAAAAGAATTATTCAGAAAGCCCAGCTCAAAGCCCGTCTCAAACCTTTTATAAATGTCTTGTCAATGAAGTAAGTCGGGATAATAATCCTGAGCCTTTTAATCTAATAGTAAAACGAGAAACAGAATGGACACCTAAAAGGATGTTAGAAACAGTTCTCTACTTAGAATAAGAGGATATTTCTCTCATGAATGATACTGAAAATATCAGAGCGAGATATTTAAATGACAATTATTATCTAACATTGTCATTAAAATCCAGATCTTGGATGAAAACATTAATAATACAAAAAGTAATGAAAATTACTCATTTCTGGGATCTGAGAATAAAAATATTCTCCCAAATTTCAGTAAGTGTATTATTAAAGAGGTTATTTTACCTCGGAAATGGGCTATAAACCCAAATCAAGAATTGCCTCTGGTTAAAGCCCAGAATTCTAAAGAAATATATTCCTTCAATTACTGGGATTATAAGCAGGCATTTTATAATATCTTTTTATATCAAAATCCCAAAAATAAGCATACTTGGATGATTAAACTTTGTCCAGAAGCTCTTAAAAAGGGCATTCCATCATGGTTTTATGATTGGTGGAAAATTTATGGTGCTAAATTGAATATCCTTCCAGAACCCATATCTAAATTATATTCTGGTTGGGTAGAATCTCATCCCATTATTTCTAAAATGGACGATAATCATATTATCGAAGTATTGTGTTGTTTACTTTTTCTCTGAAATAGAGATTCCATGGATTTGGACATGGACTTTTAAGTCAGACTGAGATGACTCACACTTGCTCATCCTTAAAAAGAATTATTACTGTAGATGGTGGAGTGTAATTATTATTGAAGAAAAAGTGAAACTTATTGAAGAAATTATAATGAGAAATAATATTGTTCTTGAAAAAACTATTTCTCAAGAAATTCAGAAGGTTAATCCAATGGTGCAGTTAGCCAAAATGATTAGACAGAAATATTCGCAAGTTTCTAAAGCAAAAATTTAGCAGAAATGTCTTGACCATATCAGAAGACAGTTTTTTGAAGCCTTTGACAATATGGAGACTCAATCTAGTAAAAGTCTTGACTCCTGTGGTGAAGATACTACTTTGCCTGATGCACAAGGAGAAGAAGAAGAACTGAAGAAGACATTTGGACAGCTGTCATGGGAGTTCTGAATCAGATTCCGACAACTGACCTTAAAGGTAAAGGAAAAAAAAGTTAAAGAAAAAGAAGAATTAAGATTTCTTTTATGAGTTGAGCCTCAGAGAGCCACTCATTACATTCCTACTTTCTTAAAGAAGTTTTTTCAAAAGACAAGCTTTTATAAAGCTACTTTTGAAAAGAAGATGCCCTGCTAGGTGTCTTTTACTTTGTGTGTACTTTATTCTCTTCCAGTCTATATAAGGAGAGAAGATATATGTTGTAAGGTGTGCGTTTTCAGTCTAAGTTTTTATTTCAAAGTTAGTGTGGATTTACAGTGTGCGGAGTTCTCTTGTAAGATATTTTATAAATAAAGATTATGGAGGAAGAAATTATCTTAAGAGTGGGCAGCCGAACTTTGTAAGCTCTTAAAAAGGGCATTCCATCATGGTTTTATGATTGGTGGAAATTTTATAGTGCTGAATTGAATATCCTTTCAGAACCCATATCTAAATTATATTCTGGTTAGGTAGAATCTTATCCTATTATTTCTAAAATGGACGAAGATATAGCTAGAGTAATTTCTTCCTCCACAATCTTTATTTATAAAATATCTTACAAGAGAACTCTGCACACTGCAAATCCACACTGACTTTGAAATAAAAACTTAGACTGAAAACGCACACCTTACAACATATATCTTCTCTCCTTATATAGACTGGAAGAGAATAAAGTACATACATAAAGTTAAAGACACCTAGCAGAGCATCTTCTTTTCAAAAGTAGCTTTATAAAAGCTTGTCTTTTGAAAAAACTTCTTTAAGAAAGTAGGAATGTAATGAGTGGCTCCCCGGGGCTCAACTCATAAAAGGAATCTTAGTTCTTTTTCTTTAACTTTCTTTTCCTTTACCTTTAAGATCAGTTGTTGGAATCTGATTCAGAACTCCCATGACAGTTGTCCAAATGTCTTCTTCTTCTTCTCCTTGTGCATCAGGCAAAGTAGTATCTTCGCCGCAGGAGTCAAGACTTTTACTAGATTGAGTCTTCATATTGTCAAAGGCTTCAAAAAACTGTCTTTTGATATGATCAAGACATTTTTGCTGAATTTCTGCTTTAGAAACTTGTGGATATTTCTGTCTAATCATTTTGGCTAACTGCACCATTGGATTAACCTTCTGAATTTCTTGAGAAATAGTTTTTTTGAGAACATTATTATTTCTCATTATAATTTCTTCAATAAGTTTCATTTTTTTCAATAATAATTACACTTCACCATCTACAGTAATAATTTTTTTTAAGGATGGGCAAGTATGAGTCATCCCAGTCTTACTCAAAAGTCCATGTCCAAATCCATGGAATCTCTATTTCAGAGAAAAAGTAAACAACACAATACTTCGATAACAAAAGTCCATGTCCAAATCCATGGAATCTCTATTTCAGAGAAAAAGTAAACAACACAATACTTCGATAATATGATTATCGTCCATTTTAGAAATAATCTCTATTTCAGAGAAAAAGTAAACAACACAATACTTCGATAATATGATTATCGTCCATTTTAGAAATAATAGGATGAGATTCTACCCAACCAGAATATAATTTAGATATGAGTTCTGGAAGGATATTCAATTCAGCACCATAAATTTTTCACCAATCATAAAACCATGATGGAATGCTCTTTTTAAGAGCTTCTGGACAAAGTTTAATCATCCAAGTATGTTTGTTTTTGGGATTTTGATATAAAAAGATATTATAAAATGTCTGCTTATAATCCCAGTAATTGAAGGAATATATTTCTTTAGAATTCTGGGCTTTATCCAGAGGCAATTCTTGATTTGGGTTTATAGCCCATTTCCGAGGTAAAATAACCTCTTTAATAATACACTTACTGAAATTTGGGAGAATATTTTTATTCTCAGATCCCAGAAATGAGTAATTTTCATTACTTTTTGTATTATTAATGTTTTCATCCAAGATCTGGATTTTAATGACAATGTTAGATAATAATTGTCATTTAAATATCTCGCTCTGATATTTTCAGTATCATTCATGAGAGAAATATCCTCTTATTCTAAGTAGAGAACTGTTTCTAACATCCTTTTAGGTGTCCATTCTGTTTCTCGTTTTTCTATTAGATTAAAAGGCTCAGGATTATTATCCTGACTTACTTCATTGACAAGACCTTTATAAAAGGCTTGAGATGGGCTTTGAGCTGGACTTTCTGAATAATTTTTTTTTGCAACAGTTCTTCATGAACTAGATTCAGGAATAGAACATTTAAAAGGTTCAATAGGACTATAAGCCCTCTGAATATTCTAGGAATTATTTCCCCTGCCTCTCCCCCCTCCCTAAAGAGATTATACCGTTTCATGGGCACCCTATAAAAATTCACGGGTAAGAAAATCAGGTAAGAAGTTATTACTTTCTTTAATAAATTCAATTTTAAACTCGTACATAGCGAGTTTAGCCTGCCATCTAGCAAAAATTTGTTTAGAAACAAGATTTTTAATATCTTTTTCTATAACGTTTTTAGCAGAACTACAATCAATTCGTTGTAAAAATTCTTGATTGAGAATATCATCTCTGAATTTAGGGAGGCATTTAATAGTAGAAAGCATTCTTTCTTAATAGTTGAATAATTAAATTGGGCATTATCCCATTTACTATAAGTAAATCTAACAAGCTGCTCTTTATTAGTAGCACGATCAATTTGTTTAATAATTCCTCCATAACCTATATTAGAGGCATCAGTTTTAACTATTTTAAACCAATCAATATTTGTTAAATGAGTACAAGGTAAATATTTAACATTAGTTTTAATTCTTTTAACAGCTTCAGTATGCTGATTTGTCCAATGTTTTGCATTCTTTTTTAATCTACTATATAAAATAGCAGTGTCTTGGGCCAGATTTTTATAATAATTTGCAATATAGTTTAAAGAGCCTAAAAATCTTTGTAATTGTTTTGTATCAATTCTGATATCAGGAAATTTAGAGGCAAATTCGATGCTTCTATCAATTGGAACTATAGTTCCTTTATAAATATTATGACCTAGAAATCTGACTTGAGTCTGAAATAATTTCATCTTAGGAGCAGATACTGCTAAGCCATTTCTTATCGCTAAATTTCTAAAAACTTCTAAATGTTTAACATGTTGGTCAAAGTTTTGAGAAAAATTAGTA